AAGAAAAATAGTCTAATTAAAAGATTTTACATTTTTTTAGTGTTTAATTAAATATTACGTTTAATCTAATAATTAATAAACGCACGGCATTTGTTCTAAATATATAAAACATCGAGCTTAACAATCGTTACGATACTTTTGTGTAACGAAAAAGCCAAATAAAAGTAGCAGCGCCCGAAATTCAAAAATTGTTAGGAGAAAAATTAAGAGTAATCATGTGACGATCGATTGAGTATGCCAATTCTCTTGTTCGATCATCATTGTTTGGTTCATTTAATTTTTACACCAAAGAACTACTACTCTTAGAAAAGATAACTATTATCGAATCAGGGTATATTCTTCCAAATTTAAATACAGAAAAACGACTCGGTGAATACACCTTTCCATATAGAATTACTGTATTACGAGATCACCTTATAAATTCTTCAGATATTACCCTTTAATTTAGATAAATAAACCACTATTTTATTCCGTACATATTTATTTGTATTTTTGCTTCCCTACATTACATTATTGTGTGATCAAGAATGTAATGTAGGGAAGCAAATAAATGTTAAATATATTAATTGAAAAAAAACACATAAATTTAATTTTGCCTCGCTAATTTACTATTAGAGTCTATAAAAGATCGAAGCACATTTCTGTAAACAAACAAACAAGTCACCATAACTTAACTTTAAGGAAAACCGTGTGTATTAGATTTATTCGTATATATTTATTTATCAATCTGTCATCCAGTAATTAGTATGCTTCATACATTACAGAGGACAATTTTTCAAAATTTAAAAGTACAGCAATGAGTACAGTGTAATAACAGATATTATATTACGATATATATATTAAAAAAACCTAGACATTAATCAAGGTACAATGCAAATTTATTATACAATTACAGAGAAAATATAATTACTATATTAATTAACTACATTAATTTGGTGCAAAGCAATTACCAGCATGAAATACATTTTCTAATTTCGTTTCATATTCTCTTCTAACAAATAATTATTAAAACTTAAAATATTAAAAATTATACGACTCTATTACAATTTAACACATTTAGAAAGAGTGCAGGTGATTTTATATAAAACGATGGAAATTGAATTTCTGAATAACGATAATCAGAGTACCGATTAAAAAGAATTATTCTACAGATCTAAGATGACTTATTTATTGCTACAATTCATGCATTAATTTTTGAAATCATTTAGTTTATAAACTTATATATCATTATAGGATTTAACGATGTAAATGATAAAACAGTTAGGTTCTCAGTCATTTGATTCATTATTTATAAAGAACACTTAAACACGAAGCGTATTGTTTCCTTGTTTGACCATACATTTCGATTCCTTTTCTAAAATTCCACTAACTTCAACACACGAAGAAAATGTCGAATAAACCGCACTTATCACCTGAAAATAGCGGTGTTTAATGCATTAATCAATGATGTGTACTAATATATAATTAAAATAAACCAAAACATACCCTTATCAAGAAGTCGCGTTTAATATGGAAGAATCCGCCCATAGATATTCCAAGAGGAATCTTTCCAAATCTCTTCATAAAGTCGTTTATCTTTTAAAAATAAAATTTATAAAATTAATGAATAATTCGGAAATTAAATAAAATTTGAATATTTAATAATTATTCACAATAAACTCATAATGATCTGATTTTTCGAGTATAAATAATATAGTTTACATCTTTTTTGTATTATTAAAATAAATAAAGTCAAGAACGTGTCAAATTAACACGTTCTTGACTTTATTTAATTAAAAAGTATAATGTGAGACCGACATTGAACTTTTACTATGTACATGCATTTGATAATGATAATGAATACGCTAATAAAATAAAACAAGTAATGACTCTCAGTTACGGATTATTATCGAAGTTATTTACTTACCTTAAATTTGAATGTCAATGGGAGATTCGCTGAAGAAACCTTTTCAATACTTATGAAATTATCGTACATCTGAAAAAAGAATAATATAGATTAATGTATGAATTTACAACTAGATATTAAACCTATTACCAATAATAAACTTAAAAAACATCAGTGCTTTATCCTTGATTTTATGGAATAAATGAATACAAAAGAGCGCTACAAACCGGAAAAGAATTTGCCCCGCTAAGTATTAAATTAGTGAATAAAATAATATCAGCATCTTCTTATGTAAAAATATTATTGGTCTAACAACTGTTTACTATCATCTGAATTTCTCGTACGCTTGCTAGATATTTACACGATTTAAAATTTAAAACTATTTTAAAATTCGTCGAATTTCGTTTTTGTCTTCGTAAATGTAATGACAAAAGTTGAAAGCATGCATTTATATAATATGAAACATTGACATGAATTATTAATAAACTAGCAAATAAGACCGGCGTTGCTCGGGCAGAATGTAACGATAGCGAAAATTAAGATTATTACTTTGTAGTCAATTTTACCCGTTTTCACAGAATGCAAGAATTAAGTTCTCCTCTTTCCAGACTAATTAGAAAATTTTTATACGAGTCTAAAAATATGTTCGAATTCTCGCAAAACACCGCCTGCAAATCTTGCACGTTGCTTTCTTCTAATACTTTCATTCTTAACTCTTCCCTGCGCGGGAGAAGTGTTAAATTTTAAAAAGTAACACATAAAAAACTAACTTTTCTTAAATTTAAGTAAAATAATTTCTTTATATTCTAGTTATTAATAAACCACTAACTTAAGCTCAAAAAACATAATTTATGAGTTTTAAGAATTAAACAAGAAGTAACGATCACATACCACAGATGTCAAATTAGAGAAAGCCCAGCAAAAAGCAATTAATCCAAACAGAGATAGCAACGATGCTGTTGTCCAAATAATTTTGATTGTTGCGTTTATTTTCACAAATAATGTTGCGTACCAAAGGAAAGAAGTCGCGTAAAGATAACACGTGTAAAATAAAGGCATAAAAACATCCCATTGTTCGTTAATCATTCTCCAATATCCCCAAAGTTCAACTTGATTTTCCAACATTTCCTGCAATATGTTTTGTAGAAAAACTTCCTTAACGTTTATTTCCATTATTTCTTTGGACAGCATCAGGTATCTTTTCTGCATTATAAATCCAATCGCTGAAAATATAGAAACGAGATATAGGATATGCGCCACAGCATAAATAAGCCATAAACCGTTGATAATAGACACAAGAAATGCCTCCGTGTTCGTTCCGTTTAGTTTTTTTATTTCTGCGAAGAATAGAATTCCGGACATCACAGTATTCGCGATAAATAAGATAAATGACACACATAACATACACAATGAGTACTTCTCTATAGTGTCGATTATTTTCCGTTCTTCTGGGTAACTGCTTGCGATGCAATGAAAGTGAATTTTTCGTCGTTTTAGTATACTGAACTGCATAGCAATGTAAAGAGAGTAAAATGCAAATACTGCGGATGCTTCAAGTGCGTAATCTCCATACATTTTTCCAACTCTTACAAAGTAAAAGTTGATATTGTACATTCTTATCAGAAAAGCGCAAAACATCATCCAGAGAAATACTTCTACAAATGAAGTGTACAACTTAAATAATATTGATCGTAAATAGGCTTTTGCTGTTTTGTTTTCTTCGACGCATGGACACGGATTCCAAAAAACTAGACCAAATACCTTTGCCGAATTAAGTATTGGAGCCAACATGTACCCCATACAACGTTGTTTCTTCCCGAATGATGGCATTTTTACTTGAATAAAAGGAAATTGTCTTGAGTCTACCGGTTTTCAGTCTTGTTTTGGACAATATTTTACTTCGTTCGTATAAAATTAGAATGTTCTGTTATGGTTACATGTTACTATGTTACTATGGTTACAAATTGATTTCTATGATTTTCTATATAATCTTAAAATGGAATCGTTTGTTATCATTTGTAAATATTAATTTTTTATTGTACAGCTTTATATTTCTACTCTTGTGTATATTATCATATCGCGGTATCCATTATGGTAATTGAAACCTATAATTCCAAGGAGGAATCTTCATTGAAAGTATAGTTTTATGTGACAAGCAGAGAAGCTTGGCGTTGCTCGGACAAAAAGTGACAATAACGAACATTAAGATTATTATATTACAGCAAATCTTACCCGTTTTCATATAATTAGCTCCCCCTGTTTCCAGAGTAATTAGAAAAATTTTTGATGGGGCTATAAGTATGTTCGATTTCCCGCAAAAACGCAAAAAAACTGCATCTGCGTCTGTAAATCTTGCACGTTGCTTTCTCTTAACACTTCCATTGTTGAAGTGTTAATCCTGTCCCTGTCCCTCGTGGGGGGAATTTCGAAAAATCCCTTCTTAGTATGCCTTTCCATGATGTACTCTAACTGTCTAGCAAATTTCACCTCTTTAGGTTAACCGGTTTGCTCTGGGCGATGATGAATCAGTGAATGAGTCATTCAGTCAGTCAGGACAAGCAATTTTATATATTTAGATTAGTTCAAACTGACGTACAGACCCACGACGGATCTTGCTTTATACACCCCCACCAATGGGTAGTCCCACCTATACGAAAAACGCTTCGAATGGTCCACAATGTTTCAAAACATTCCACATCATTCGAGAATGTTCAGGAATGTTTCACAATGGTCTGGGATATTCCCGAACTTTCCAGAACATCCCGGAACATTCTGGAATGCTCTCGAATGTTCTACAAATTTCTAGAGGGCGAAACTTNTGATATTGTACATTCTTATCAGATAAGCGCAACACATCATCCAGAGAAATACTTCTACAAATGAAGTGTACAACTTAAATAAAATTGACTCTAAATAAGCTTTTGTTGTTCTGTTTTCTTCTACGCATGGACACGGTTTCCAGAAAACAAGACCAAATACCTTTGCCGAATTAAGTATTGGAGCTAACATGTACCCCATACAACGTTGTTTCTCTTTAAATGATAACATTTTTTACTTGAATAAAGAGAATTGCCTTGAGTCTACCGATTTTCAGTCTTGTTTTCGGACAATATTTTACTTGGTTCGTATAAAATTAGAAAATTTTGCTATGTTGCTATGGTCACAAATTGATCTCTCTATAATTTTTATTATAATCATTAAATGGAATCGCTTATCAATAATTTCTAAACACGAAGTACTGTACGTAATTATTAATTTTTGTTCGTATACTTGAGTCTATTATGGTATCCATTATGGAAATTGAAAACTATAATTTATAAAGAAGGAATTTAAAATGAATGTTTAATTTTATGAGTGATTTGTTTTTAGGAATTTACTTTGATGACAAATGTACTTTTAGACAGAGAAAAATTAGTGTATTAATTTCATTTTACATTATGTACGATGTTTAAGGAGTAGAAATTAATAGATTAATGCCTTTGTTCATCAAATTTATTGCTCTGTGCACTTTACGAAGATATTTCAATCATGTAGATTGTCATTACCTCGACTAATTCTTCTCTAATGATGTTTCCGAAATTCAGCACATTTTTCGCTGAAAAATAGTTCATCAAGAAATACGCTTCCGCTGTTCCATGCGCCGCTCCACGACGAAAACAAGCTTAAGCAATGGCGTCGTCGATCGGTGCACACTCGGAAAATAATCCTACAATTTTTTTCTTTATAGAATAGTTTATGTGGATTATTCCCAAAAAATTATACGTGATTTGGAAATGCATACCTGCCAGGCTGTGATTGGCTCATATATTTAAAAACTCGTAAAACATAAATTTCATAAAACACGGAACGTAAATACCGTGTTATAGGGGCGTCTACTGTATTGTCAAACAACTTTTTCATTATCAAATTAAAAGAGGGAAAAAAACGATTAAAACAAGCGATTTTATAGAAATTGTTTACATAGTTTCAAATGGTAGTCTGCGGGCGCCTGGTATTTTGCGAAAATTCTTTCGACAATTGTTTTTACATGTGGATCTAATAACAGAGAAAGAATTTAACTAATTACAGTGTAAAAGAAGCTTACTATTGATGTTATCTGTCAATAATCTGCATTTTTACCTTTTGTTGCTGTAAAATATTAGAGGGTGTATTTTTGGAAATACTAAAATTTTTTTGGCCCGAAGATTAAGAAAAAGCATTTAATGATTTGGACAGTTAAAAGACATACGGGAAACCGAATCATAGCTTACATAGCAACAGACTAGTTTACAGTTTGTAAAAAACGCATCTAAACTTGACGCATGTTTCCTGAAAAAGTTCCTAAAACGTAAAACGTTATTGTCTTCGTTATAAATAAATAAAAACGATAAATTTTGAGTAGTTTTGTTGATTAGGATTTCAGCAACAAATTCTCCCAAACACCTAACATCAGAAAACACTAACGATAGTATGATTTTCACAGAATTGATTTTTGAAACTGGAACAAAACAATCTACGCGTGCCTCACATCGCAACAGCGCTTCGCCCGCTTAACCCCATGTTAACTTCGGTATGTGTGAACAAAAGTTTAACTTGATTTTGCAACATTTTCAATAATAAAGGGGTGTCCAAACATTTTGCTGCAATGGCCAGATTGAAATTTAAATATATTTGCGGCGGGCCACGTGAATATTTAAATTGAAAAATCTCGTTCTGATAATGCAGCATCGAATTTTACTTTTTACAGTTAATTCCATATACACCAATACTGTACAAACATGGCTAAATTATACATAATTAGAAATTGTTTCATGCAACATTTAATGGAAATGGTAGAACTGAAGAATTTGTTTAAAGTTGGGATTAAAATGTGAATGCAAATGATCGTCCGATAAATTTGCCCTGTACTTCGATTTTAGTTACTTCACCTTGGAAAAAGTTTGTTCTAACATATAGGTAGTCCCAAGCACGGAAATAAATTTGCAAGCAAATTACTTTAAACTTGGAAATTCTTTTGCATTCAAAAGTTTGTAAAAATCGCAAAGCTCCTTTTTTATATTTATTTTTAAATTGATCGTAGCTTAAAGATTAATAATTTTCATTTCATAATAACTCGAAACGTCGCAACATTGCAGCCAAATGGATTTTAAAACAGTGGAATTTACTTTAAATTCATGTCAAGATCAGAAAATCTCTTTTAAAATTCTTGTTTTAAATACGCGATGAATTTACGTCTGATCTCGTTGGAAATTGTTCATCAGTTTCTGTATTCAATTCTTCACAGCACGCTAAATAGGTAAAATTACATTCATTCATTTGACTTTCGAGCAACATCAGATTTGCCCTGAATGCTTTGATTTGCGCGAAAAAATCACGAATTAAGTTGTTTTTACCTCGGAGCTTTAAGTTCAATTTATTTACGTTTGTCACATCTACAAAAGAAAAGCAAACTTCCAGATTCACTCGACACCTGATAAAAGTGGTTGGGGGTGATTTTTCTCCACAAGAAATAAATTAATTTCATTTCTAAACTTAACGAACTCCAATAGCACTTTTCCACAGCTATGCCATCGAACTGCAGTATAATACAACTCAACGGACTCAAATTGAATTTGTTTGATAAAAGATCGAAATAAACGAGGATTGATTTCATGTTATCGAATAAAATTTACGACAGAAACAAGCGGTTTTAAAACGCAGTTCATATCGACATGTTTTACACGTAGTGCTCTTCGATGGATAATACAGTGCAGAAAATTTGGTAGCCATTTTCCTGCACCTTCACAAGCTTCTCTAATTTGCCCAACTATACCAATGTTTATACCAGACATGTTTCTTCCAATATCAATTGTCACACCTTCTAGTCGATTCTAGTCCAAATTACAGTCGACCCCCCTACGTCACGGGTTGGTATAGTTCGGATTCCTATATGACGGAGAAAAGTTGCGACAGTATTCGTACAATCACGCTAAAAAAACTCTTATAATTAGGTAAAACGTCATCGGCGACTCGTGTCGCGACAGGATTGGTCAAATCTAGACCAATAGCAGATGTTGTAAAAACCGTTGAGTTTAAACAAGCATCGGACCTACTAAAAACTATTTATTATTTAACGTTTATAAAAATTATATTTATATTAATGATGTCTCCAAAGTTCAGCAAATTTTTCGCAAAAAAATAATTTATCAGGAAGCACGTGAGCGCCATTCGATGACAATTTCCACGACGAAAACAAGCTTAAACAATGGCGTAGTCGAACGGTGCACACTCGTTAAGTAATCCTACAATTTTTTGTTTAAGGCATAGTTGTTTAAGGCATAATGGGGAATTATATGGATTATTCCCCAAAAATTATACGAGTTTTGGAAATGTTGAGTCAAATTAGTCTAGAATCGATTGATTTTATGAAAGAAATCTTTCAAATAGCTGTAGTCCGTAAACTGCATACGTGCCGGGCTGTGATTGGCAGTCTCTTAGAACATCAATTTCAAAAAGAACGGAACGTATCTACCGTGTTATAGGGAATCAACTGGATACTTTGTCAATGACTTTTGTATTAATTCGAATGTATTTTCTCCACTTGTAGAGGATCGAATTTGCTGCTAACGGAGGCTAATTCTTGCGTGACATTAAGTTCGTCGTCAACTCTACGAACAAATTCTAAAAGTTGTGATGCGTTACTAACATGAGTTGATTCATCCATGGCAACAGAATACCGAGTGAAACGCTGAGTTTTACCAGTAATCAACATTTTCCATCATACATTTTTTAAGGATGATACCATCCATAGAGGATTTTTTTTCTTTCGCTAACAAATAAGCAACTTTTATGGTAAGGTCAATGCTTCATTTTCCGAGTTTACCTTTCTAAATAAATTTTGCTTAGTACAGAATCTACGATGCTTTGTTTCAGATTTTTCAGTACGCTACTTCTTCTTAAATTGTGAGTATGTTGACGCACCTTTTGTTTCATAATATCTACGTAAATTATGTTCCTTCATTACAGACAGCGTCATTGCAAATTACACATACAGCTTTGTCATTCTTTGACTGCGTTCGCACAAAGATGTATTTTACTTCCCATTTTTCATTAAAATCGCGGCACTCGGCAAAAATGCCACATACAATGCCCTCGATTCTTTCTTTGTCCACTTCTATTCACTAATACAAAGACATCCAACAAAATCTGTGTATTCGTGTACATTCTCTATTCTCCTGCCTTCGTACCGATTCGGTAGTTACCGAACAATAGCCCAAAACAATATTTTTACGACAGTAAATTTAAGTAAAATTTTATGAATATATTTTTTCATTTTTATTATTTTTAAAAATTAAAATTCGTCTTTTTATCAAATGTAATTTTTGCATTTTTTTTTCAATCTTTGATTTACATTTTTGAAAATTAAACGACTTCGCGCGAAAAAATAAGTATTTTTCAAAAACCTTCGCGGGCGTTTTGGCCCACAAGCCGTAGTATGGATACCTCTGCAATAAATTACACTACATTATCACACTCTGCGCATAGCTAAAGTAATAAGAAAAATAGACTAATTAAAAGATTTTACATTCCTTTTAGTGTTTAATTAAATATTACGTTTAATGTAATAATTAATAAACGCACGGCATTTGTTCTAAATATATAAAACATCGAGCTTAACAATCGTTGCGATTGTTAAGCTCGTTACACTTCGTTACACGTTTCGTTACACTTTTGTGTAACGAAAAAGCCAAATAAAAGTAGCAGCGCCCGAAATTCAAAAATTGTTAGGAGAAAAATTAAGAGTAATCATGTGACGATCGATTGAGTATGCCAATTCTCTTGTTCGATCATCATTGTTTGGTTCATTTAATTTTTACACCAAAGAACAACTACTCTTAGAAAAGATAACTATTATCGAATCAGGGTATATTCTTCCAAATTTAAATACAGAAAAACGACTCGGTGAATACACCTTTCCATATAGAATTACTGTATTACGAGATCACCTTATAAATTCTTCAGATATTACCCTTTAATTTAGATAAATAAACCACTATTTTATTCCGTACATATTTATTTGTATTTTTGCTTCCCTACATTACATTATTGTGTGATCAAGAATGTAATGTAGGGAAGCAAATAAATGTTAAATATATTAATTGAAAAAAAACACATAAATTTAATTTTGCCTCGCTAATTTACTATTAGAGTCTATAAAAGATCGAAGCACATTTCTGTAAACAAACAAACAAGTCACCATAACTTAACTTTAAGGAAAACCGTGTGTATTAGATTTATTCGTATATATTTATTTATCAATCTGTCATCCAGTAATTAGTATGCTTCATACATTACAGAGGACAATTTTTCAAAATTTAAAAGTACAGCAATGAGTACAGTGTAATAACAGATATTATATTACGATATATATATTAAAAAAACCTAGACATTAATCAAGGTACAATGCAAATTTATTATACAATTACAGAGAAAATATAATTACTATATTAATTAACTACATTAATTTGGTGCAAAGCAATTACCAGCATGAAATACATTTTCTAATTTCGTTTCATATTCTCTTCTAACAAATAATTATTAAAACTTAAAATATTAAAAATTATACGACTCTATTACAATTTAACACATTTAGAAAGAGTGCAGGTGATTTTATATAAAACGATGGAAATTGAATTTCTGAATAACGATAATCAGAGTACCGATTAAAAAGAATTATTCTACAGATCTAAGATGACTTATTTATTGCTACAATTCATGCATTAATTTTTGAAATCATTTAGTTTATAAACTTATATATCATTATAGGATTTAACGATGTAAATGATAAAACAGTTAGGTTCTCAGTCATTTGATTCATTATTTATAAAGAACACTTAAACACGAAGCGTATTGTTTCCTTGTTTGACCATACATTTCGATTCCTTTTCTAAAATTCCACTAACTTCAACACACGAAGAAAATGTCGAATAAACCGCACTTATCACCTGAAAATAGCGGTGTTTAATGCATTAATCAATGATGTGTACTAATATATAATTAAAATAAACCAAAACATACCCTTATCAAGAAGTCGCGTTTAATATGGAAGAATCCGCCCATAGATATTCCCAGAGGAATCTTTCCAAATCTCTTCATAAAGTCGTTTATCTTTTAAAAATAAAATTTA